CACCTTTCTCTCATATATGCTTTTTGATATATTAATGATACGACCACACCATAGTTTCTCCCAGGATCCCTGCTTCAGTACAGACTATACATACTTTGGTGACACATCAGGAAATGTGATATGATGCCATCACCTGATGTTGCCTCATTTCTGCAGAAACCAAAAGATAAGCTGGTTTCAACCTGAAACTGAAATGCTACTCTGAAAAGTAAACAAACTAGTGCTTGTATTCTTGCTTTTGCCAAACAGTATTACATGATACTTCATGAAGTTACCTAAGCCAAGTTTGCATGAGTAGTTACTACCTGGAATTCTTATTTTCCGGGTGCCAAACTCAATACATCCTAGTCCAATCAACTGGAGTTGCAAATCAAGAGATTGTCAGAGACGCATCTAAAATGGCAACTGTGTTTTAAACATATGAAGTATTACATAATATCACCTACTTTGAAAAAAAGTGTTTCTAGGTTCTCTCACTTTAAGCACCTGCGTTTTGTACCTCGGTTCTCTAAAATGAGAATAATCCATCCTGACTTTACAGACACAATAGGAAAATAAGTTCATTCCTGTTCAGAAAGTTCCGATTACACAAAGGAGAAGCATTACAGAAAACGCAAAGAAAAGAAATAACTAGCCTTTTAAGTAGAATCTGAGCAGAGTGGTGGAAAGTAAGTGTTGTACAGTAAGAAGAAAAGAAAAACAGAATTGCCGCTCATGTATGAGCTGCCCTTTTTCTGAGGATGGAGCGAAAAGGGCATTTTGCAAGGGGAAGAAAGAATGACACACAGTTATGAAATCAGAGATCACAACGCATGAAAATGAGGCCAAATTAAAATACATCAGAAAAGTTAGGTTTGGCACTTCTTAACTTATGAATAGCTTTGCACTCAGAAGCATATCAGGACTTGAGGCAGTGGGATAGGAAGCATTTAAAAAGCATGTTTAAACAGTAAATTCAAATAAATTATCAGGTTTGTTCTGTAACAGAAGTTCAGAGAAGACTATTAGTTTGTACCTAGTTTCCACCTCAAGAAGAGGTCAACTAAGGCTAATCACATATACCTTACTTCATCAACAGTCAACTCCATTTAAGATTAGAGCAGGTGCATCCCAATACAAAAAACTCAGATAAAATTTGCATTTAAAAAAATACTGTTTATAATTTGCATGAGTGAGAGCATGTCTCATGACTCAAAAGCAGATTCATTCTGAGAACTAAACTCTGGAATTTTTTTTTTTTAAACTATCCCAGACAGACTGAATCAGTAACACAATTTGAACTGCCTCTTGAGAACTACATGCAGCAGAGCTGAGAGTTGTGAATGTTTTAACATTGGGAAACCCTTACTGAGGAAATACCTCACATTTGCCAAGTTCTTATTTTGTGACAGTTGCAAATAACTTGCTGAAAGTAAAAAAGAAAAAAAAATGGGGGAGGAGAGATTATACATGACTAGATTCTTCGTGTTACTCATAAGCATTGAACTAAAGAAGAGGGAGGAGATATTAATATTATTTCATTTATAACACTACCCTTGAGCTTCCAACAGAGCATGCATATACTACTGTAGTTACACATAGAGTTTAAAGTATTTCACAGTACAATATAGAGCAGCAACCCAAAGAAGGAGAAATATTTTGTCAAACTCATTGAAGTCATACAAAACATTTTAAGCTTCTAACTGCTAGTGCTTTAAAGACTATTGCTAGTTTGAATTAGCAATAAAGACACCTAAGTATATCACCTAAACAAAAGCAAATCTGGATACATCAAATGTACATTGCTCACTTCCAGAGTTTAACAGAAGCTGACAAGTTTAACTCTAAGCCATTAAAGTCTTCATATCTATGAACAAATCAGCTTCTACTGCTTATAATAGTAATTTTAAGTCTATAATGAGTCTCAATTTTGAAGTCAGTTACCTGAAAATAGAAGTCTAGTATAGCAACCATATCCGTGCCTTCAGGAAAGCACTGAGGAAGAAAAATAAAGAGAGTCTTTAGGTAAAATTATGATTTTTTTTTAAGTATTGCTTTTAGAGAGACATAAATTAAGCTATATTCCTGTCAGCATATTAACATTAGGCTGATTTAAAATCAAGTATGTACTTATATATAACAAGTAGAAATCTTAAATCACGTCAGATATTTTAAAATAACACAGTGCAGTGAGGTCAATAAGCTAGGTATTAAAATATTTTTCAGTAGAGCTTTCAACATCTTTAAATCAGCAAACTTCAAAATGCATCTAGGAGTTTTATAAAGTCATCTGTACAGCACAGGTTATGCATTTTACAACAGATAAAACAAATTATCATGGCTATGATACAGAAAAAATATTACAGGTGTTCTATTAGAATAAGTATCACACTTTCTAAATGACAGCATTTTGAGTAACAGTATGAAAACATATACAGTATTAGAATAATTTATGCCATACTGTACATTAAATAAATTAAAAATCTTCACAGACTATGAAAAAATCCCACCACACAGTCTTCAAAATACAATTAACAAAAGAGATCAACCTTTTTTTCTTTCAAGTAATAGCCGATCGCAAAGTTTCTATCTCCACTCTCTCTTTCGGACTGGAACCTTAAAAAAAAAAATTTAAAAAAATAAAAACGAGACAAGACAACACATCAAACAAACAAAAAAACCAACTGCTGAACTTCAGAGACGCATAACGCAATTCAGTAAAACTGCATGTAAAGGATACGTTACTTCTGAACACAAACATTCTACGAATGGGACAGAAGTTGCCATAGAAGCTCACCCCAGTACACCCAGTTGGATGGAGTGAGTTAGCTTTGACATCCAAATACACATGGTACTGGCTGCCTACGCATACATAAGCTGACTTGGAGATAAGGCAAAGAAGTGCAAGACCCTGCTCTTAGAAGGGTTTCTAAGAAGGCCATAGTGGCATGAACCATCCCACAGGGAGCTGTAGTGAAAGGGTCATTCACTGACAACACTGACCAAACCAGAGAAGAATCCACGGATCAAGTTGCGGATCAAACAGCAACCAGCCCGATGGCTGCACTGTTTATTGTGATGATTAAGTTCAGGATGAAACCTAAAGGAGGAACCTGTATGGGTACAAGGGTAGGTAATTCTCACCTGTCGGTTCCTTCCACAGTAAACACTTTTACATTACCAAAGCTCAGAAAAACACTAGTTATCTCATTCTGCTTCTCTGCACGTGCATGCCAATGAGCAACCTGGAAGCAACTCTGCTATATGGCATCTTTAGGATTTTCCCAGTGCTGCCTCAAAAAGCTCTCAGGACTTTTGGAATGCTATACATTGAGTTAAGGCGGGGGGGGGGGAATTGTTTTAGAAGAGAATTTAAATATGCAAAGTGAAAAAGCATGAAGAGTCCTAAGTGTATAAAGTATGCTATCTAAACATTTGATATGCAGCCATCAACATGCAGAGTTTAAGATAAAAGTTGCACTTACAGCTCTCACTGTCATAGCGCCAACAGAGCACTAAGACAGAATAATGACATTTCAAAGAGGTAACCGACACTTTTATGTGAGATTTAGCCACACTGATGTCAGACATGCACAACTTCAGTTCCTGCAAATTTTAAGCCAAAGACAGCCTCAAATATTAGGAATGAAATGATGGGTTTAATGCAAATAACTGAACTTTGCCATAAACTCAGTATGTCAACTATCAGTTGAGGCATTTTCCACCTCACTTCATTAAGTAAATAAAAAATACTTACGTAGCATTACTGAATCCAACATACTCATTACCAGCCATTTTATTCATGAATTGCATCACCTGTTGGAGACAGAGAGGAGGGGGAGAAAAGCATGCTAACATTTTTGGACATCAAAAAGTTGTAACTGATGAACTTTCAATCCAGCCTTACTCTAAACCTTGTAACATAATTTTACAAATGCAATCCAAATCACTAAATGTTTAAACAACCAAGTACAGATAAAAATACAAAACATTTGAAATTACTAAAATTTCACTTGCAATTCCCTTGCCATCTTGAGACTTTTACCACTGAATTTAAGTTTAGAAAAGGAATGTTATAACATTAACTTACGTAGTCAAATTTTTCTGCATTATTTGCTCCTTGCTGCAAGAAAAGAAAAAATAATTTACAAAAATTGTTAACGTAAGAAAGAAGTTAGTTCACTTAACAGTATTAGGATTTTTAATGCTTATAACTAAGGTATGAGGCTAATTAAGAACAAGGTACTACAATCATTTCGTATATTAATAAAAAAATTAAAGTGTTAGATAAGTAAATCTTTCATTATAATTTAAATTAAATAATCCTATAAGACTTATCAAACACCTGTATGTTGGAAATGAATTTAAACTGAAAAAGGTATGCTTTATTTTAAGTGCTCTCTATTCAACTTTACGTGCTTGGCATAAGTAAACGTAGTAGATAAGTAAAAAATACTAAAGTAACTACAATCAGGATAATTATAATGAAAACACTAACTTTTTATAGATTAGTAACCCAAAGGTATTCTTATATTACCAACAGAGCTGAGCATAAGAAAGTTCAGGCTACTGAAGTTAAAATATTTCCATGGCTAACGCCCATGCTAAGAATTTAGAATGAAGACTTAAAATAAAGTGTTACCCCTTACTATGAAAAGCATTGTATTTAATAAAAAAAAAAACTGATTTGATTAATATCTGATCAATGTCCTACCTATTAAAAATTAAATATTTAGAAAAATGGAATTTCACATTGTAGAGTACATAATTCTGCTAACAATGCAAGGAGAAATCTAAATCCAACTTAACAAGGATGCTAGTGAAACTTAAATCTTAGGGTTGGTTGGTTTGGTTTTTTGGGGAGGACGAGGGGTGTTATTTTGGGGCTTCTTCCCTCCCTCCCCCCATTTAAGAACATTCTCAAAAAAAATTCTCAAATTTAGTAGCTGCCAGTTAAAGATGCTTTAATTCTTTATAGGTCTCTGACAGGTGACCTTTCACAAATTCCTATAGCAAGATGTTGAAAGAGGGGTGGGAAGTAAAAAATAGCACATGGTCTACTGGGAGTTTTTAATTTTTTGAAGTAGCCAAGTAGTATTTTTTTGAAGGAAGTTTAAAAAACCAATGGCATCAAATACACAAGTGGAAACAATGTATTTGGAGAAGATATTTTTATAAATAATTTTAGTATTAAAGATACTACATTTAAATAACAGAATTCAGTTTAACATATCTCAAGCAATTCAAGACACTACTTGCACGGTGTTTAGTAAGGGAATGGGGAAGGAAGTGGAAAAAACTGAAGCTTTATATCAACCAGTATTTTACTTAATGAAATGCGTAAAGCCAGTCTCATTTCCCACTCTGTATGTGGATTAGGGTGTTGCAGATAATCTCTGAAGCCCATGCATCAGCTCGTCTACAAGAGGATGTGCAGTCATACACGTACGATCACTAGCTGAAAGGAACACCACACTCTTTTGTCAAAATTATGCGCCAGTGGTTATTCTTATGCTTAAAGGCTAATAACCTTACTATTAGAGGCAATAATCTCTAGGCTAATTTGCAATAAGATAAAAAAAATCATGACACATTTCATCAAAATGTTCCTGTATAATATACCAGAACACAAGTCTTAAAAATTTAACTCCAAATCTGTTCAATGAAAAATAATTAAAAGAAGAAATTACCAACTTCATTGAACTGTTGCAGTTGTCAAAATATTCCATAGATCCTAATGCTGTAAAATATGTAACAACATTTAAACCACAAAAACCTTTTCAACCTTTCAAATGCACAATGAACATCTTTTTCTGGGAAAGTGGGTCAGCATTAGTTATGGGATGCTGCATTGATAATTGTATGGTTAGACACGTATAATAAATTGAAACAAGTTCTTTTGTTAAAAAAAAAAAGAAAGAGGAAGGAAGGGATCATGCTTTCTGCAAAAATATAAATACATAATACTTCACTTTTTTTGCCCAGTTGAAAAAAAATCCCTAGCCCTTCAACGAAAACCTGGCTTTACTAGCAGCATATAAAATTGGTGGGCAAAAGACTCAATGTAAATTTTCCACATCAACTTGTAAAAAAAGGTTTCTTTTAAAATTTATATCTAATCTCATATTTTGGGAAGAAAAATCTTCTGTATACTAACTCATATGATGCATTTTTAGTCCTTGATGTTCCACACACTTGTATAGGTACTCGATACCACACACAAAAGCATTGTTACTGAAATTAGACTGCTCGTATACCTAAAATACTTGCCTAAGTAATAACATGACCAAGACCTCAGTAGGGATTTAACATAACGGGTAATGAAAACAGAAAACTTCGCTTTATACACATGATGACTAAAAAAACCAACATATTAGTTTCCCTCTTTCAGCAGCTGACAGAGGTATGCTGCTGCTCCTAAAAAGCTGAAGAGACACAGAGGCAACACACATCCTATGATTAAAATTCAATTGCAAATATAAAATCCTAACATTCAGAATACTGAGCAACTTTTCCATAATAATTTAAAAAAAATATAAGAAACAAGAAAACTTCCGTTCTTGCACCAGTGCTTCTTATTTTTAGCTCGATTTAGCCTATGAGGTTGGGGCCATTGCAACAGTATTTCTTAAAAAGTATTTTTATTTAAGTTCAGATGCAATTCATCTGTCTAGAACATCAAAGGAAACATTCCATGCACTAACTCCACAAACACTTAGTACATTTACTGGAACATATGTTCATATACACACTTACTGTATACATGCTTGTGTGTATATACACATATGAAGAAGCACTTCTAAATGAATACAAAATGAAATTGAAGCAGTTTGATAGGCAGAAAATTCAAACTCGCAGAAGACAGCTCAATACAATTTTTTAAACACTTAAAATCACAACGGACACTATGGCTGTCAATCCTAAGTTTGAATTTTTTGACTGTGTCAGGTTTTAGTGATCTTCCCTTTTTTTTAAAAAAAAAAAAAACAAAACAAACTACAAACCACCAAGGTACTTTTATTTGTATTTCTACTAGGAGAATATAAGCAGTTGCATAGGTTGCATGCCTATATAGATATCCATAGGAAAGAGACCCATGGATACTTACCAGAGCTTGCAACAACAAAATTCAGCAATAGTTATTAGAAAAGTAGTTAATAGTAGCCACTTTTCATTGATCAACATTCAATGTTTATATGATTATACCAGTAAGCTCATACCATGTGTCTCTTGTTAAAATAATTTTTAAATTTAGAATCTAAGCCAAGCTAATAAAAACATCTGAATCATGAGAAGTTTATAATCTTCTAATAGAAGACTACTTAAAAATTAATTTCTAGAATTTTAAGCCAAATTTATAACCTAACCCTATACTGTGATGAAAACATCCAGGGGAAAAAATGATAACACTATGTCAGAGTGCAAGAAAATATTATTTTTTTTTTTTACATTTGTGCATTTTACATCAACTTAACTATTAATGTCTTTATTTTAGCTTTATGTACTTACACATGTTTTTAATTTTATTTGTTAATCTGGGCCTGTTCTGTGAGAAGTGGTGTCTTGACTGCTTAGCGTGCCATTTTCAGCTCTGAAATACTTGAGAGCACACTGTCACAGACAGTATTTGACCCACTAAGACCAACAGTATTACTATTTCAAATACATGTAAGAATTATTTTTGTGTCCTTCAGGTATTAAATACTTGCAAATGTGACCGCTGAAAACACGTCATTTCAAGTATCATTACTACATAGTCTATGTCAAATAACATCAAATACAGTTGAGTCATAATAAAAAGCAAGTGCAGAATAACATGAATGTACATTCTATCGAAAATTAGTTACTACAAGAAAATTAATAACCCAGGAAGAGAGGAAACATCATCAAAATAAAGATAAGTATCTGGCAGAGAAGATCACAGCACCAACACATGTTTTAAAGTGGTACACATGAACATTTATACATCAGTCTATCAGGAAGGATAACTGGAGTGGATGGCTTAGAGCAATTAAGCTAAATCTGCACTATTTATTGCAACTATACTGTCAAATAAACCCAATCAATCATGCATTTTCCCCACCCGTCAAGTATTAGGCCGTAACTGTATAAGTTTCCTAATAACTGTATCCTGACAGCAAACAGCCCCTTGGCACAGCTGGACAGGTTTTTCCACTGCTCTGCCTCATTTATTTTATGACTTATCAGCATCCTTAGAAAGCTCTGAAGTATATCGGATGCACCTCTATGTTTTGTACAAAATAAAGCAAAGCTTTCATTGAATTAAGTTTTTCAGCATCAGCAAGATCAGCATATTCATTTTCTCGTACACCGTGGTTTTTTGCAAGGACTATGAATATTGCTATGTCCCCGAACATGTCTCAATGCTTCCCCCATCACTCCATTACCATAGAATACCTCCCTTCACCAAGCGTTCAAATCTGTCGCCACTGTCTGTGTAAGGTTCTGCATGTGGCTGGCAGCACTTACAGGTTTTATATTGGCCCAAACCTTTGCTGTTACACTGGGAAAGCTTTTATCTACAGATGGAATCTTGAAGCATACAATAAAAATGACTTAAGATTAATCCCTTGTTCTCTGATGGTTCCTTCCACAGTCATCTGCTTTCAATGTAGCTCAGGCTAGACCCTTCCTCTTCATCTCCCTTGCACCTCTAACACACTGCCCTCCCCAGCCAGCAAAGACAGGTGGAAGTGGGCAACTGCTGACACAACCGCTGATATGCCCAGAGTTGACACACTTGGGGAATTGCGTTTAAGGTTTAAGAAAAAAAAAAAAAACCCCAACAGATCAAAGCATTAAAATCTATTCATACTACAGGCAATGAAGACTTTTCCCAGTCAGTGTGATGTACAGAAAGCTGTGTGGTTAGAGCACTGAATCTGTGCTAAATACGTACAGGAACTGAATCATCTTCTTTCGAGCACCTGTGTTTCCTTGGAGACATGGAAGAATTTACCATCTTATCTAATATCGCTTTTCCACAAACTCCTGTAATTGCCACTATTTTCTTTTGATAACAATTATTTGAAAAAATTGTTATAACTATGTAATTTATGTAAGTAGTAATAAAGGCAAATGGCTGTACAATTACAAACAAAAGGTCCTTAGGGTTTTTCAACAATTTTATTTCATTAAAACTGGCCCCCAGGATGTCCTTTTGCTAAAGCATTCTTATTGTAGATACACACTCTAAATTGCTGGAACAGCGTGTGGAGTGTAATGCAAGTACAATTAGAACAGAGCCATGAGATAAGGGACCAAAATGTCAATATGCTGTAGTTCCAAGCACATGACAGTAGGAGGATCATTTAAGCTGGTAAAAGCACGACATAGTCATGCCTAAGTAAGCCCAACAAACGTACAACTTAACATGCACACACACTTTATTATTATCATGAATAGTACAGACTAAACGTAACATTACAGTTTAGGTCAACGCTCTGTTCCAAGGTACGTATACCAAACTCTTAAGGTAGTCAGGAACGCCTTTTGCCCCTACAATGTTAACATATTACATATTCTGACAAAAAGATTACTCCAAGCTTCATCTCTTATCCACAAGTAATCATAATTCATGTCAGATTCTAAGGGTAGTTGTGTGCAAAATCGTAACAGCTAAACAGCTGCTACATTCAGTACAATGTATGTAAATTTTGAAAGACTTCTTATATCAATTTCTCAGAAAGAGAGAAAATAATGAATATCCAAGGAGGTAAAAGCATTCTTAACACTGAAATACAGCAACAATCTCTCCATAGCTATCAACATGCTATCATTAGATAAATCTGTCATACATGGTAAATTCGACCATGTTTAATAATCCCTTCATTTTCTTGGACTCTAGAAGCCATACACAGTCTTCAAGATACTCAAGGAACACCTTAAATAAACAGAATGAATGCAGAGGAACTGAGAGCAAAACAGGGGTTAATGAAGCCACCTTTATCCAGAAAAAAAGTCTTAGATTAGATCAAATTTAAATGTGAATTACTTATATCACTGAATAATTAGTAGGAATACTGGTAAGTTGCAGATTGTCAAGAAGTTATTTCACAAAAGATACAACTCTAAGTAACTTTGTACCTATGACCATCTATGTAATTTTCTTCAGAATATATTTAGTTTGGTTAGTTACTCAAATGATAAATGGCACCTTAGTGGAAGCAGTACATAACATAATCTACATTTTAATCACACTGAAAACAAATAATGGAGTGCGATAAGTATGATATGCGTCCATTAGACGTGCAGTTACCACATGCAAAAACATCAGTGCAATGCAATACTCTTCATAAGAACATTACAGCAAAAAAATAAAAAACCACCCAGCAAAAAAAAAAAATCCACCCAACCTTCTAACAAATATCACAGTTGCATGCAGTAAACAAATACATGTTATCTATTTAGAAGTACACCATTTATCAAGAACTATGTGCCTTCTGCAAGAGGCACATGCTTGTGTTTTGCCTTAAGGCCAGTAGGGCATGTTGTAGTAGGACTAACATTTTGACAGTTCAGACAAATGTGTTAAGTCAGATTTTAAAATTCACTATTATCCAAGTGAATTTCAATGCTCAGTCAACCTTTAAAAAATATTAAATGTGAATAAATTTACCTGTCATACTTAAGGCCATTTTCTTTCACCTACAGCTATTAAAGATAAATGTCTTTAAGCAGGAGTTCTTACACCTTTTTTAAATACAAAATAACAGAAAATCATGATCTAAGTAATTTTAAAGTCAACAATTTGGAAATAGGAGGTAGGGAACACTATAGCTAGTGGACTTTGAAACATAACGAAGACAAAGGCTGTACATAAGAATTTTTAGATCCCTGAAATAACAGTATTAAGTTTTCTACTTAAAAACTCCAGGGGACTGACATGCTCCCCACAATTCTAAGCAGGTACCCTTAAAATAAATGTGTTGGTTTTTTTACTAGTGGCTACCAGAAAAAGGCAGAAAATACAAGTGAAGTATCTGGCAAACATTAGCATTATGTGGAATTTAAGCCATTTACAACTTCAAGAGATATATATATAGCTATTCTAAGGAAAAATAAAATACAGCTTTCCAAAATTCGCAAGATCATGGACTAAAGATGTTAAGTCATATTATTCAGCTACGGTTTACTCAGCAAAATACAGGTAACTGTTTCCAAATACACTTATTTAAGAAAGCACATTTAACACTCCAACAGAAACTACATAACATAGAAGTTAAACATAATTTAGTTGTACAGTATGTTAATAGCGGACAAGTTCAGTATTAAGACTGACGTGCAAATATAGCTGCATTGCTCCTGTATAAATTAAGAGTATCTTCATTTCTTCTGCACAGCAAGAAATACTCTTGTAACTTTATGCTATATAAGAGCATTAGACATTCAGAAACATATTTCTGAGTGCTGAAAAGTATATTCCTGAGGACATACTCTTACAATTTAAGAAGTATGAGGCAATTCTCTCAAAAGAATATCAAGTGTTGTGCAGTTAAAGAAGGAAACAAAAAGTAAAAACACTAAGGAAAAAGTCTTTCAGCTGCACTATCACTTTTTAAAAATTTCTATTCTAATATTGCATTTGTTTGGAAGTGTTACTATTTCCAAAACATCAGATCTTGTCTATCTGCTAATGAATCAACTGCCATCAGGTATTGCACATATAAAATAAAAACAGTTCATAATCTGTACAATATTCTTTTTCTACATTCTATTAAAATACTTCGAGAGAAACTAAAAATTAACTTTTTACCTTGATTAAAGATGTGATCACAATTGCTCCAGCATTCACCATAGGGTTATGAGGCCTGTCTGTGAAATAAAGTTTTCAATTAGAAATGTATCCCAACAAAACCAGTCAAGTGTTTAAGTGAAACATGATAAATATTAATATATGACTTAAAGCTATGATTATGGAATATAATCCTAAATTAAAAATACTGTAATCCAACATTATACACATTTTTTTGTAACTCTGATCAAAGCATTTTACAGCTTAGAACAACTCAGCTTAATGCTACTTAAAAGTCCAGTAAGTTAATCAGTTTGGTATCATTTCTTTTCATGAAAATTTTCAGTCCCCTCCACTGTTCCAAGATTTGATCAATGCAACATTTGCAAGTGGAAAAATCCCTAAGGGACTTTCCAAATTTTCTCCAAGTTAGCAAGTCTCAGTGATTTTAAGTGTTCAAACAAGTTCTTTAAAAGAAAAGGGAATTCCAGTTCTTAAATTTCCTTATTGCTGTACATAAATACAAAATCCTGATTCTTTTTAAGAATCAGAGGTTTCTATTGGCAGCTGCTGAAATACAAATAACAATTTACTCATCCTCACTAGAATTTAACTTACTTTATAATTGACTTGCATACACCTGCTACACTTCAGTTTTTCTTTTTATCACTGATCTCCATATTAAGAGTATTTTTGCATTCCCAGTCATTTTTGACTGCTCATGTGAAGGAGTCACTTTTTTTTCTTCTTTTTCCAAAAATGTTTTCCTTATCAGCTGTCTACTTTTCCCAAATACAAGTTTTCATTCATCAACATCTACTTCCTACAGTTACTATTTATTTATTTTTTAACTAACATTTTTGCTATGCCTTCTAACTATGATGTTGATTTTTGAGGGTTCTAGTGTCTGAAAACCTCAATCAATTCTCAATACATAAATACTATAACAGGTTTGAATTCTTTTTATTTGCTGTTACTTTGTTTATTTCCAAATTGGAAAAAACATTCAGTTTAAAAAAAAACCACCACATAAACAGTTTGCTATTTTTATACATAATACACACAGATGCACACTAAATAGAACTTGAGATGATTGCTTTTTGGAGATTAGTCTGATATTCACAGTACATACACACACATACACTTTTTCCCATGAAAATTACACTGGTCATAGTCAATGGCACTTAGCCATCTATGACTACAACCGATTTATCCCGCAGTGGATGCCATCAGCAAGGGGATTCCACATTGTACAATAACAAGAAGCAAAGATTGATACTGTAATTGCAACAGTTTGCCAAAGAGATGAACTCATCTATTAATCTTTTGAAAGAGGTATAAAACTCTGCAAAGCTAAATGACATACATCACTAAAAACAAAAACACACACATATACTCTCTCTATATAATCAAATAATAATGGCAATGATCTGCTCAGACTGAAAAAAGTCTTTTACACAGCTTCTCTGCAAGTCTCTCATATTGCTGTATCATCTCATTGTACTGTGGAGTAAATTCATGTTTTTATCCTTAACGAAAAGTGCAAGTCATAATAACCCTTTAATTTTAACTGGGGTGCCCTGATTAAGTCTAGCACTGATTCAATGATTTGTCTCTTGCATAGACAACCCACCTAACAGCTTCTGAATAGTAAATATATTCTCCAATACAGGGCTCTGTTTTCCCTGTAGGAAGGAGATACTTATCTAGAACAGCCTTTTACATAGACGACTGCAATATATTTAAAAGGTGTATCTAAATTCAAAATAAATAAAAAAATAATTTACATAATTACCTAAATAACTCTCCACTGGAGATCACTATTGAATGGTGAGAAATTATGGGGTTTTTTAATACCTCAAAACTGCTTGACAATTAGCATGACTGCTCTAGCAACCTGCCACGCAGTTATGTCATATGCAAACTAGACCTCTCCCCTAATGAGCTCAAATTACAGCGCTTCTTCTCTGCCAGTTCTTCTGACCCTTCTTGTCCATCGTTGGCCCGAGGCCTGTCTTGTACAACTGGCTTGCAGTCTTTGAGCACAGAAAGCAGAGGTTGCCACACATACACAATACAGACATTTGAATACACAGAACAGCTTGTCATGGCAAATTCTTCCTGAAATTACATCAAAATGTGTTTGTCCAATACAAAAACTTAAAGAATTCCACCTCTGGTTAACAAAATCCTTCCGCAGAACAAACAACTGCCTGGCAATCATTCATTCAATTACAATGCAACATTCATTACTTGACTAAGTTCTACAAACAATTATATTACTGGACTAATTCTACAAATAATTATCAAGAGAAGGTCCCACGTATGAATAAAAGATATTAACTGTAAATATATACAGGTATTGTCAGACATGTCACATTATGAACTCAATAGGTATGAAAAAACCTGCAAACTGCTTGATGATCATAAAAACTATTCCTGATGATGCCTATTTCAGGTACATTTTACTATGTAAAATTCCTGATCTACCTACATCAACTAGAATAATCTGGTTTTAATTAACATGGGAATATAGCTTTAGTCCTTGAGACATCTGAATAGTTTGATGGGCCATATGTTCCCTTTGATAAAAAAAAAGTTTTAAAATTGAATATTCACAAGAGTGCAGAGATTTCCAAACTTCCATTGCCCAGCACAGATCTTACTCAAAACATACATGATTCTTAGTAACACTTTTTTAAGTTGGCATTTTTAGCTATGATTTAAAATTGTCTTGTAATATTCTCCATTCCTTCCAGCTTGAATCTCAACAAATGAAACAATACCCTGGTTTAGGCTTCATTAATGTAGTGACTATAAAAAAATACCTTCAGATGCACGTCTAACCAGTTTTTAAATACCTGCATCACTTCATAAAATCCTGATTAGAAACATGAAATTCAACTCTACCAGAATAATTAGAAAACAAATAGATTAAATATGTATATATTATATAGATATTTCCAAATCTGATCTTCAAAGTTCAGACTGCCAAATACTCTGCGTATCCAAGCCTCATACATCAATTTAAAATTGCAAGTGTAATTCCTTCTTCCTTCCTCCTCCACTCACAGAAACTCAACTTCCCTTTCTCTCCCTGTAACCGAAATGTTCCTATTTATTAGATTTCTACCTTCTGTTTTAGTCTTTTGTTTAAGGATTGTATAGATAAAAGGCTGTTCAAGTTAGTTCTAATGCATTTTTCTCCTGCCAGTTTTACCAGCCACACAAGCACATCCTTAAAATTTAAAATTCCTATCATATGAATTAGTCCTCTCTATTAATTTCATGCACACTGGTCAAACTTTCAATAATCCCAATTCTTTTATGGCCTAACAGTCTTATAAAAACTCTTGAAGTCGAACAACTATATAATAAAAGACCACAGCCTAACAATTCATCTTTTCTCAGAGTTCTATTTTAAAAGTAGCAATAAAAAGATGCTTTTATTTAAGAAAATAAAAACCCCGAACATCTATATTGATCCAAAGGAAAAAAGTGGCCATTTTCAGCACCATCAAAACTTTTTATACGAAAGCTTTTGTAGGATAGGAAAGGCAGTCTTCACACGCATAACATTGTATTTGGAATAACTGGGAAAGCAAAAACAAGACAGTAGAGCTTGACAAAATGCTTAATTCCTCCTTGGCGATATGTTGGTATTTCATTACCACTTACTAACATCATAAAAAAAGAAGAAATAAATTGTCAAGATTATTTCATTTGTCATTTTTGAGAGATGATTTTAAGGTATGTACTAAACATAATTACGTTTCACATATATTAATATAATATAGATATTTAAGTCCGAATTCAATACAGTCCTTGACAAAAATACCATCCAAGCCTTATGCTGTTAATTAAATATTAATTGCAATACCATGGCAACAGAAACATTGTCTGTTCTCTTACTGAGAAAGATCTGCTAGAAGAAACATTTGTGTTTCAGAGAGAACATCAGTATTTCCTCTAAGGCTCCATGAGTCATCCTTCTCAGATTTTTGCCATAATGTTATTTTTAAAAATAACATTTTCATGCTTGAGAATTAATATAATATGAAAGAGAAATAAATCTAGATTAGTACTGTACAAGAAATTCTTGCTAAAGCACTCCTGCCACAGGAAATAAAATAAAAATATTGTTTTGAATCAATAGCCAAATTCAGTTTAGAACAGTCTGTGGAAGATGCATTCAATTTTGCCTTCTGGAAGCTAGCCAGTGCTGGTCTTTGGCACCAGAGTGGTGAGAAATTATATACATTTATTAAAACCAATTTAATATCTTTCATTCTTTCACCACCATTTTACAGAAGGCATGATTAAGGAACATTCGCTTACCAACTCAGCTAAATAAATACACATTTCAAATATCTGCATTATCAAAATTCTTTGTTTTTTCCTACAGCTGGATACTAGGAAATAGAACAGAAATAATAAAGCATCTTTAACTAGCATTCTAAATCAGGCAAAAGTGAGTGACAAAGGATAAGCCTGTCTTGTTGATGGCAAAATACTTTGGGACACTGTCTAATAATAAGATTTAAGAGGATACAGTAAAATGATAAGACTGGAAAAACTGTGTAGCTTGTTTTATAATTTTCTAAAATTGAGTATTTGCATTATTAAGTATTTTTTATATATATATCTCTCTTACCATCTTCATTCAGGAACAGTTTGTTGAATCTTAATCCACTAGGCTCTTTACCAACATATCTGTGCACATACTCTGTGCCAAGATCATTAACAGCAATAGCATATTTCAAAGGCTTTACACAGGACTGAAGACAAAATGGAACTTTGGTATCGCCAACAGAATGCCTGGGAAAAACACAGGAAGATGAAAAACAGATGAAGAGGTTTGAAATGTCCTGTTTGCCAGCTGTGGCAAGTAAGAATGTTAAATGCTCCATTTATTCTTCAACATACTACGACTATTAACAAAAACATGCAAAAACCCCAAAGCATGTTATTATTATTAAGCCTCACTTTAAAGAGCAGAAGAAAAAGATTTAAAGGTTTTAACAACTGCCTCCATAAGCTAAGCATAACCAAGTCCCTTGCTGGTGATTACTGCAGATGTAACAAAATAAAAGCAAGTTCAGAAATGGGTTTGTACCAGAGCAAAAAAAATCTCCTCAGAGGTCTAGTACCACACTTACCCTACTCAATTGCAAACCACGTACAGGGTACACCTGACCTGAATATAGCCACTATTCACATTTATGTCTATATAAACAAAGATGAGATCCAATTTAGTTTGGAATTCAAGGGCAATAATTAAATAGCTGTATTTACGCTCCCTTTGATAATGGCGTAGGTATTTTATCACAGTAATAGTCAGACTGCATCAAAGAATGACTCATACAAGCAGCATATGCCCCATTTAGAGCAAAAGGCTCCAAGCAACCACTTGTCTGATGGCAAGATCAGAAGCATATTTGCTTCTTTTCTTTTTTCTTTGCAGAAAATGCGAGCAGGTTCTCACAAAACCATTTTGGCATTATAAAATATAACACTACACAACACTAAACATTACAAAAATTAGCATTATAAAAACTTTCATTAGTACATGTTATAATACCAAAAAGCAATGCAAAATGCTAATTTAAAACACTCAAAGGAAAACATTTTTACTTTTAAAGCTGTTTTACTAAGAATAGATCATAATTCAGACAGTCAAGGAGCTGAAAGATACTTCAACTCACTTGTACAGCTCTTCCCCATGAGATTATGGAGTATATGGCTAATAAGAAACAAACATACAGATCATAATAGATGACATTTAAATGAACCCCAATCCATCGCCACCATAAGCAAGTCTGATGCTCTCTCAGGAACGCCCTGTTCATCCAGGACACACCAAACACCTAAAAATTATGGTACTCAGAATCTGCAGTATGACCACAGCAAACTGCAGGACAGCAGAGACAGGCAAGCTGATGAGTATCTTAGGCAGACACAGAATATTTCGTCTTACTTTTCAGCTAGATGGTGAGAGACACTCTTTACATTTGGGCTCATAACTCTCTCTGCTACACTGAGTCACTATTCAAGAAAAAAATAAAATAGAGTAATTCTAGCTATATCTAAGACCTATATACGCCCTTACAGGAGAAAGTTTAATAAACCTGAAAGGCAAAATCATGTTAAGTTCTGTCAAGTTTCCATGTCTTCATTTTCTTTTTAAAGAATATAGATCTGAAAATTTTCAGTGATGTATAGTGATGTATAATGCTACAGTAAGAACATTAAAATGCAGAAAAGGAACCAACTTTTAAATATATCATGACCTACAGAATAAATAATACAGCTCAAGGCATGGGTACTATTAGACAAAGCTGTTCAACTTCCGAAGATTAATACTACTTAAGCATTGTCTCTACCTTGTCCTTTGGTAATCACTTGAACTACCTATAACTTCATTATTGCATTTGGATCATAAGCACAATACAATCCAGCCTTAAATATAGTGTTTACAAATACAGTTCGCATAATATTTTATAAAAATAGCAAATTAATTCATCTTAACGGTTCATTCTTTGACAGTTGGACTTGATGATCTTAGAGATCTTTTCCAACCTTAATGATTCTACGATTAACCAAAGAAGCTGAAAAAAATGCTAAGACGACCAAGTGGATTTTACTTCTTAAACAAGTCCAATAAAGCTTTTTCTTTATTAAACCATGAAATATCATGAAGTGCTGTATATGTCAGATAGTTTAAATAACTGAAACACTAAAAGCTACAAGTTAGAATATACCTCTGTCCATCCACTGTGCAAAGTGATACACCCCACAAATCAGGGCTGAACTTGGCCAGTTGTGGAATATAGTCAGCAACCTATCACAATGTGAAATAAACACAGACACATTACAATATCCAAAATACTTAACTATATGTTAACATATGTTAATTAAAATATATGCCAATGGAAAGGATACACAAGGTACAACCAAATTATTCCACTAATAATAATCTAGTATATCTAAAACTTCCTTACAAGTTATTATATTCACTAGATCATTATCAAATAAAATATTTTTTTCAATGAAAGTATAAACTTCAGCACATTCTAAGAGGAATCTCTGCCCTATATCGCACTATGTTTAGCATTTTCAAATCACACAAACAAATTTATCTTGTAACAAAGTTGGGAGTTTTTCAATTAATTCATTGAAAATAAGCACTACAATAAAGTACTAAAAAAGGTATGGTGTTGACAATTACGTCTGTCACACAACCCAGCCAGTTCTGCAAAGTAGCATAACTCTTTTATAGACTAAGTTTACTCTGACAAATTATACGGCAGTTTACTAGTTCATATGAAATTAAAGAAATAACACAATTTTCTCTAACCTGAAAACTGTAAGAGTGTTAGAGGTAAGGAGCTGTATTTCTAACACTGTTTAGAAGTTGCAGACATAACTGAACTTCCAAAACTATTTTATCAAGTTACTAGTTCAACAATTTGCTAAAGATATTAAGAAAAAAATCTGCCTATTTAAAGAATGTATTTCGCTAGTATTGAGAAATCTATAGAAGTTTGAAGTTGACTTTACAAACAGGTTACCTTTCCTCCAGATTGTTTTTTAGCACTTTCATACAGCTCATCAATATGTGAAGTAAACGACATAAAATCTGGAATGACAAACTTCCTCCTGAAAGCTTGAGTAAGCAACACAATATTACTTTGTACACACCTGCAAAGAGTTAAAAAAGTTTATTAGTATTTTGACAAAGTACCATCAAAAAGCCTACTCAAGCAGCAGTTACACGCTATTTAAATAAGGACCATCAGTCCCGTGAAGTTATATGCCTACAAGAACAGGTCTTTAGTAGAAAAAATTTTCCATTTTCCACTCCATAAGTTATAAATAGTTATTTAAAATTATTTAAAATTGTTTCATTGCATTCACTTTTATGCCTTTTTACTTAAAGCCTTTATTTGAAGTTTCAACAGTAAGGTTGTACTGCAGGGTACTAGCAATTTGCCTTCAAGTACCATCTAAGCCGGCAAAAGGGACCTAAGCCACCCATTTCTCAGGATCAAGACATATGACAGCCACTTAATCCAGTCCTTGTCCAAAGAAGTGCTAATTTTAGAGTTAGATCAGACTTCTGAGGTTCAGGGCTGGTTTCTCCAAGAATTTGGCTTCACCAAGAACTGAACAAGAACACTGCCAACAGACCAAGCTGGAATGAGTTTCCACTCTAGTAAGAACAAAACCCTGTGGAAGTACTCAATAACATCTTCTAAACTAAACAAAAGTTGACAGTGAGCGGTTCTGCAAGTCTCTTGCTTCAAACTATCTGCAGTTAAGGAATCTTCGCTGCCTTTTAACCCACAACACATTATTGCCCACACCCTCTGAACATCAGCCCATCCGGTACATTTGAAAAACTGATGAGGAAAAAAGGAAAGGGCTTATCTAGGAGAAACAGAAGAAGGGAAGGATCAAAATACAAGCTGAGACATGCTGCTTGAAGTGGTGTGTCTGTGGGCGGGGAGTGAGCAGAAGCAGGGGTAACCAGTGAAGAGACAAAATTATATTCCCTTCGACTCCCCCCCCCACACACACACTTTTTCTTTTTAAAGCTTCGGTTTGAACTCCTTTGTACTTAGGAGACTTTATCCAAAATTCAGTGACAGCCCTTTCAAATGTTGGTGGGCACTACTCTCCAAGAGTGAACGACATACAGTAGAAGAGAAGTTTCTGTTGTACACATTGGCATCTTAAGATTTGCTTTGTCTGTAGTAAGTTCCTTTGATAGTCTATGTTAAAATAGCAATTGAGCTGGTTTTGTTGCAATAATTGGCCATGCTTATTCACTGCTTTTTTACATATCCTGCAAAAATCCTGTTCGTTTTTGTTCCAAACAGCCTCCACTTAGTTACCTACTCCAGGTGCAACAACCTGGACAAAATTTTGTTAATTATTTCAAAGTAATGTCAGCTATGTGTGCAGAAGGAATAACAACACACATATGCACTAGGTTTAACTTTCAGGTGCACTTCTACATTGTCTATATTACCTGGACAGCATTAAGCACTCTTGGAAGAAAAAAAGATAAAATATTCAAAGTTCACCCAAAGCTATTAGAACAACTCAAGAATACAAAGTGAGGAAAACAAGCAGGATGCAGTATGCAGTGCAATACAGTCCTCCGATACCATATTATGTTTCTGAAACAGGAAGGGCATTTATACACTTACCAATTCACACCAAGTCTAGGATGCTCACTTCAATAATGCAATCATTTTAAGCCAGAGATTGAAACTCACTGCAGAAATAGCTTATGCTGGTTCAGGACATTACCTATTTCTGCAAGAAGTTATTGTTCCCAGACTTCTGCCAAGGTCAGCGTCCAGGTATTTATCCTGATACTCCTTAACCCAGGCAAGTCATACGAATACGCAGACACTAAATATGGGAGTTCAGTCAATCTAGATGGGTATTCGGAACAATTACTGCATAGATCAATTACTATAACATGACAGGGGTCTTGGTAAGCCCCAGTTAATGGGGCAGTAATATTTTTCAGTCAACAGAGGACACTAGCCTTGGCAGCCTCTAATATTCTGGAACTGACATCTCCCCACCGGAGTTTCTAACTGGTTTATGTTCCGGGTAACCCTTCAGAGATGAATGATCTGAGGCTCAGAATAAGCAGAACAGTAGGAAAAGGTCACAGGGCGGAATTTAAGTAAATTAATATATTGATAAATAAAAATCTTTCTGCAGTCAAATTTTATGAACAATGTAGCTTTAGCAGCGTTCAAGATGGGTACACTAAAAACTTCCAACCTCAAATTCTTCCATTTCTCCAAGCTTTATAATTGCACATTGAAAAATTCTGTTTTGCCAAATCCCAGTCTAAGCATTTCTTCCTCCATTTGAAAACATGTCTTTTCAAACTATAAAACTTGATTAGAATGCAAGTCTTATCATCTGTAACAACTTTCAGTGACTGTTGTAATCTGAAAGTAACAGTGTAGGGGTTTTTTGGGTTTTTTTTTTTGAAACTGTATCTTTGGTCTCTAGCATAAGGCTAGTATCACTTTGTTTCCTTTCTCATACAACCTGTTACGTTTATCCATTCTTTTTCAAGTCCTGGCCCTAACTGCTGATCATAGCCTCCCTACATAAAGTAGACATCTGCTAGGAACAGTCTGAACCGAAGCAATTCTGCAGAACTGTTAGGCTACCTATACTGCTGAATGGGCACCCTTTTTCCCTGTTTAAAAAGCTATAGTATAAGCGTTATGGAAAGGAATGTGAAACTCCATTTCCAACTAACAAGATTAGGTCTGTAGCACTGGTCAATATACTTAGACATTTCAGGGAAAAAAAAAGTGACGCTATTTTGACAAATGAGATATTAATGTTATAGCAGAAGCCCTCTCTGTCTTCTGTGAAAAGCTTTCTAATTGCTCAGACAAATAGGATGAAAACGTTTATTAATGCCTGGGTTAAGCATATCTAAAATGAAAGTTTTCCTTGGGAATTGCTACCTAGATTGACGGCGCAGCGGAGCCACTCGGAAGCAAACAGATACGCTGTTTGAGATCCAGCAGCGGATTGTCAGGTTTGTGCTCAGGACATAACGTGCCCAGACGGCTGCTTCCCGCCCGCAGGTGAGAGGAGATTTGGCTAGCAAGACCTCAGCTCTGGGTCAATGAAGCAGGACAGACAGCGCCGGGTGACAAAGGCTAAGTCTACAAAGCCAAGTAAATTATTCTGAAAAAGAACTGAGTTTAAACCTCAGAGTTATAACTGTTACTTAGTAGCTATCATCTCATTCAAGTTTACACCATTTTCAAAATAACTCAATACTGATTGCCTCATGCCTTTCCTTCCCCTACCACCACCACCAACAAAAACATTGTTAGTTAAGAAACAGGGCTTTTTACAAGTCTTCTATTTTTGTGTTAGCAATGAGGTGTGAGTTAGAGGAAAAGCCAAAAGGGGTAGGAGGATTTCTTCGAAAGATTGTTACATATTTTTCTACAAATTAGCCACAATGTCATAGAAATTATCTTAAAAATATGTCAAAATGTGCACACTTCATGAGGAAGACTTGAGCGTACAATCTTCCATATTTGTTAAGTTGCCTAAGTTTCACCTAGCATTAGTTAACTAGTAGTAGTAGTACTACTTTATTAAGTAAGTACCATAGCTAGGGTACAAAAACAAAAAAAAAAGGAAAAAAAAAATCACATAGCAAGCTAACTGGCATGCTGCACTGCTTTCAGTAAGCAGGCTGCTCTCAGTGAGGTATCACCCATGCTATGCAGCTCATGTGTTTTGTTAGAGAGATGCAACATGAACGGCTAATTCAAGAAATTTGTCAAGCACTCTCTCTGAAATGTGCACCAGTGAAGCCTGCAATTCAAGAAACTCAGGAGATGAAAGATTAAAACCCCAGGTTGTTCTGCCTGTAAAATAAAAATTTGGAAAAAAATCTCCATGGAAGTGGACAGCACTGTAGAGCCAAAAATCTTCAAAAGAAAGCAATTTTAGTCAAATTACAGTCTGATGTTTAGAACTACTAAAAAGGTGTTGAAACTTCTGTTACGAAGACGGACAGTACAGATGCACGAGCTGAAATATTTTACAGCTAATTTCTACTGGACTTGATGGATTTAGTCAAGCTTATGTACCATTTCTCCACATCACTTATCCTTGATGCTTTATTTGATCTAGCGGCTTTGTATTAAAATTCAACAGAATTACACCACTGATTTTCACATTTAAGAAACTGAGACTTCAAAGTCCTGAGGTAAGAACAGCTGAGTAGATACACTATATTTCACACCTTAAACACCTGGAGAAGAACAAAAAATACAGGAACCTTGTACAAGTCTCTACACAGCAAATGCAGTGTGCCTAGGAGGAATAAATAACTGAAGTTTGGGGTTTTCTCATTTATAAAAAAGTTAACACTTGCTGCTTGGAAGGAAAATCTGCTATGTGAAGAGATTCACCACTCCACCCCCTGGACAGTCTTTATGTTCAAAACCCTTCCTGCACAAGAAGCAACCACGTAAGCTTTCTGCAAGTTATCATACTAACAACCGCTCCCCCAACACAGAGGATCAAATCCGAGGGATGTGATGTAGAACACAGGCTAATCTTCAGCCCTCTAATTAGCAATCACTTGTCCTTTTTTTAATCTAGAGTCCTTGCCTAAAACATAATTCATAGTTTAGTATCACAAACAAGTCTTCTAGTACAAATGTAATGCATCATAGCAAAAGCATTTCCTTTCCAATCCAACCATATACTCGGGAAGGTTTCTGACTCTAACAATTCAGCGTTTTTACTGTGCTGACAAATTTCCAAAGACCTGACCTTGAACTTAAATACAGGCATAAAGTTAGTCCACGTTGTATCTTTAGGAAGTATCCCACATTTGATTAAGGAGCTGACTGGTTTGTTATTTTGTCACACACAGATATTCACTTTTTCTCAATGTACTTCCAAAAAAAGTTTTCCATATTTAAAAATATATAA